GACTGACACATACCCTATAATAAAGTTATGATGATAGGAACATGCTGTATTGGCAAATATGAAAACCTCATACCACCCATGAATTAGGTGGCTTTGCTGAACTGGAGACAATGAATGGAGACTAGGAGAGAATGCGACACCAGCCCAGAGCTACCTCTGACCCACACACTCTTATGTGGGGAGGAGGGTCAGATGTGAACTTTATTCTGCTTTTATGTGTCACTGACAGTCACCTAGCCACCTGCTTGGCTCTACCCTGAATGCCAAAGTGTGTCCTAACTTGGAAACCCCACTGCAGTCTCTGTGCTGAGTCTGACCTTTCAGGGGGGGATCACCAGGCCTGCCTCCCAAGACATCACTGATTGGATTCAAACTGCCAGCCTTGGAGCTGGTCATCAGCCCCTAACAATTAATGATGCCCAGTAACTCCATCTGCCCTGAGTCTGATTGGAAGATACTCCCCAGACTTCCCTGAGCTTCATCAGAGCTCTGATGCTGGGGATCCAGACAGACTCATTTCCACCCACAAGGGACAGACTTCTTTTCAGTCTTTGAGAATGCTTCCTCCTGTTATAAAATTTTAATTCAGAGATATCATGGGGAGGCACAGAATCCTAAAAATAGATTCCCTAGGGGAAATGTGAGATGAAGAATCCCAAGACAACAGCAGGAAACCAGCCCTTAAACTTCATCTGCACCTGCTTTTGGGTCTGAATACTGAGTTTAGTGGGTCTGGAGCGCCCTCTGCTGCCCGGCCCTATGCCTGCAGGGGAGGTTTGTGTCTGGGATCACACTGAATTCCCCACACTGTGTGTTGCACACAGTAATACACGGCAGTGTCCTCGACTTTCAGACTGTCCATTTGCAGATACAGCGTGTTCTTGGTGTTGTCTCTGGACATGGTGAATCAATCCTTCACGGAGTCTCTGTAGTTCTTAGTACTACTGTTGTGTCCAGGTTATGAAGGAGTTGCTCGGCGCGAGGAATATGCTATCACATGGCAATGCAAAAGTAATAAGAAAGTTTATTAGCTAACTTAAACTAGGGTCCTTGCTCTTACCAAATCAGTGGCTTGAGCAAAAGAACCCGTGTCCCGGTACTTTCACAAATTTATGGAAAAATATGGGGTGGAGCAGCACCAGGGCGAGAGGGTACAGATGATTGGTTGTTGCTAAGGGATTTAGGGCAGTGATCTAAGATGTTGGGGGATGTATAGAAACTCCCCAGCTTCAAAGTCCACTTAGGGAAATATTATATAGGGAGGATGCAAGGCTCAGGTATGTGGAAGACTTTCAGGAGCCGGGTAGATCTACGATACGTGCTGAATCCGGATAGCTTTTGTGATGCGTGCTGAGTTTGGAGGAAGTTTCTGATACCTGCTGAGACTGGAGGGCAGATAAAGGCCCTAAGGAGTGTTTAGAATTCCAAAAGTCTTGTTAATATTGCTGACACTAAAAGGTTTCTGGTTAAAGATTTTCCTGGAGGTTACTAGGACTCTTGCCTCAGACTCACACTACTATCAGGGTTAATTCATCCAACCCAGTACAGCCCCTGCCCTAGAGCCTGGCAGATCCAGGCCATCCAGTAGCTACTGAAGGTGAACCCAGAGGCTGCACAGGAGAGTCTCAGGGACACCCCAGGCTGACTCAGGCCTCCCCCGGACTCCACCAGCTGCACCTCACACTGGACACCTGCAAACACAGAGACATCCTGGTCAGGAAACCATCACACATGTCCACTGTTTCTCTCATTCATGCCCATTCACATGCACTTGCTCTCCATCAAATGACCTTTTAAAGTATCAATGAGGAAAACCCAGCCCAGCACAGACACCATGGAGACTCATCTGTGTTCAGTCCAGATCACTGAATGGGGACACCTGGGATCCCGGGCTTGGACTTCACTCCCAGAGCTGCAGGGTTGGGGCTAGGTAGGTTTTCATCTGCAGAGGGATGGGCCCTATTTGCATATCCTCCTCATATATAGCAAACTATTGGGTTGGATGACTTCAGAGAGGACAGTGATTCAGAGCAGACATAACTGTTCTGGGGGAGTTTGAGGACAATGACAGTGTTTGTGAAAACAATTTCTTATTATGTG